AAAACTTTGAATGACGGCAACCTAAGAAGCAACAAATCTCACATTGACTCTAATAGATTACACGCAATTCTCTCGTTTCCAGTGTATACCAAACGTTTCAGTGGTATTAAATTATACGGCATTTAAAACGTCTTTATTTTCTTCTCATACAAATAGCAATGAATTTGGCATGCAAATTTTGAAGAATGAATTAAAAATGTACAACGTGAAGCTATGAATAAACAAATATACATCCATTAAATAAAATCTATATAATAATGGCGACATAATTTACAAAATTGTTGACATAAATGAAGGCATTCCTCTCTAATTCATAATTATTTTCAATCTTCAATAAAACAAGTAATCACAACATGAGGTATGAAATGAACTGAAAATAATCGTTCAAAATACGAAATGCTTCGTAAACTCACTATGAAATGATCACTTCAAGGTAATACTACCGCTTATCACCAATTTTTGCGCCGCCACATTTTGAAATGATAACGGACGGAAGACTGTGAAGGATGATTTCAAAAAATTCGAGAAAATAATGGAAAATCGAGCACCCAGAAAACAGTTAATATTGATGAAGAAGAGATGCAACGATTAATGCGGTTCAGGAACATGACCGTCCACATAGAAATTCCTTGTCACTTTCGGTAATTTGACGGTGATATCATTCAAATGTTTGGTGAGAATGATTTGACACGATAATCTTGAGTTTGGTTTCAACAATGGTGCCATATCTAACATATCTTCTTCCTCTTCTTTTGGTTCTGGCAGTTTATCGACGAATTCGTTTTGCACATAAACGTGGCACGTTGAACATGCCAGAGATCCCTCGCAAGCACCCTCAATTTCGATTCCATGCCTGAAATTCATATTTTCTTTCACATCTTCACTTTCTGTTGTATTTAAACTCGGCTTCACACGGCTTGCTCATAAGAAGCATCGTTTTACAAGAAGCATCCTGACATTTGGAATGAAGTTTGAGTCGGCTATCTGCATCAGTTGAGTGAAACAAAGTGAAGAAATGCGCAACTATTCGAAATGAGATTTGCATATTTCTAGAGGTGAATAGAAGAAGTTGAGAGGGGTTTCGAGGAAGGAGGACAGATCAGTCGTGCATGCTCTATTGGTTCCCTTTACAAGCAGTGAAGAACAATAAACAGATTCATTCACCTATGAGCCAGATACATAACATTATCACCGACTTTCCCTCGAATCTTCCACGAGCTCCCATCTCGAAGAATATACGTTATATTAACTACATCGTCCTCGGATTTCGGATCTTCGTACTCGTATTCACCTGCCCAACGCGCTGAACA